AATGATAGGGTCAAAATATAAAAACTACTAATATAATTTATTTTTTTTTAATTTTATTAGTTTGTATAACATTACCATAACAATAATAATTGAGTTTCTATATGTGAGTAGCAAAATTGGCTTCTTCTCAAAATCACTGGTAAAAAATGAAAAACAGACATATATTATTGCTTTTTAACTTTATAATTGGATGTTGAAGTTACACCATTTGGATTGCTTTCAGAGAATGCCGTATAGCTCCAAAAGCAATGCTTTCTCAATGCAAAAATCTAAAGAATTAATGCCTTCCGTTTTTTATTTTGCTTTCTTTTCTCTTCTTTTCTTTTTGGTTTAGATAACTCTCAAGAACTTCTGGTTGCACTTGGATACATGCCCTCATCCTATAAAACATCAACTCAAATGATCCACAATATACTTGGGGTTAACATGACAAAAATGGGTTGTTTGTTGCAACATATTGGTCATGTTTGTTTAGACAGACTGGATAAAGAAGATTGTAATCATCGGACTATTAATCTTAGGATATATAGCCTCCGTTTGGGAAGGACTTTTTGGCTTTTTAGCTTTTTTGACTTTTTTTGTGAGAGAAGAGTGTAATGATTATGAGTTGGATGTGATGTTTTGTTTGTTGTGGCTAAAATAGCTTATTTTGTCTTTTGTGACTATTACAAAACCACTTGCCAAACATCACATAGTGGACTATTTGGTTGAATAGAATATGCATTCATGATTATTTAGTCATGAGATTAGATGTAAGGAAAGAACTGTTTCATTGAATATTATATTTGTTTGAGATATTATGAAAAATGATAAATGTTCAAAACATAATTTTGTCCTTTTAAATTGTTTGCCAAATAATATCAAAATTCAACATGTCTTTAATATTTTAATTTTTTTGGGTTAGATTAAATAAAAATTTGTTTAATTTTATTTAAAAATTAAATAAGTTTATTTTTTAAAATTAAATAAATAAAATATCAATAAATTTTTTGTTATTTTTTTAAAATAAAATTTTAAATAAATTTATTTTAAAAAATAATAATTATTAAATAAAACATCAATAAAAATTTAAATAATGACATTAAATAAAACATCAATAAAATTTTAAAATAAAACATCTATAAAAATTTATTTTTAAAACTTAAATAAATAAAAAATCAATAAAAATTAAATTAAATTAAATTATTTTATTTTATTTTTAATTTAATTTAATTTAAATTTAAATTTAAATTTTATTAAATATAATACATAATTAAATCAAATACTTGGAAGGTAAATATATCATTTTAACATTTAGTCCTATGAGATAGTTACCCCCGCCGGATACAACCGGACTTCTAATCCAAGGATACAATCGGACTTCTAATCCAACCAACAAATTTGCAACAAACAATGGACTCCATGATCCAATGGACATGGTGTCCAATCTCTCTCTCCAATCGCTCCAAACAAACACAACCATCGTGGTGTTTTTTTTTTTTTTGCTTGTTTGATGTAGAATATATTAAGGCTGCTTCAGACTTTTAATTTTGAATCTTTGTGTTAGGATGATTGATACAACTTTTACTTACAATTTATGAAATGAAAATAATTTAAATAAGCTGAAAAAAAATTTATCATTAAAAATTTGAGAGACAAATACTTTTAATTATCTTGTGTTTTCCAAACAAGTTGTGAAAGTGTTTTTGTACAATTTCCACTTATAATATAAACAAAAGATGAGTTCAATAAATTTTGAAAAAACTTACTATTAGAAAAGAGCATTGTTGTTTGGTCTAAAATTCAAACGGACTATGACTTGTCCGCGCATCTTCACTGATATTTCTTTTTTTCGAAATTATTGCAAAAAAGTGGTCTTCCTATATTTAGGGAACTACTTTTTAAATACCTTAACAATGCTCATTCCCCCCCCCCCTCCTTCTAATTTATTAAAATATGTTATTATTATTATTCTTTTACTATTTAACTTTTTTTTTTAAAAAAAAAGTTAATACGACAGTGTCATGAGAAAGGAGGAATAGGAGATTGGAGAGGTAAATTGATTTTATAATTGAAAAATATTTGAGATTCCAAATTAAATGCTCATAATTTTATCTTTAATGATGTGAAATGATAAATATCAATTTTTGATTTGTCACCTCTTCAATTATGTGGGCTCTACTTCCTTGCCACACGATATAATTGGAGCTAATAAAATGGAGTAATGTTAGATATTCAAAAATTTTATCAAAATTTTTATTAAATGTCTCACGTGATATTTGATAAATTTTTTAAAAATTTAATATTTTTTTAAATAAAATGCTAGAATGCAGCAAAACTCCATAATTTTAAAGGATGAATAGTGACTCCCTATATAGCATTTCTTAAATTTAGTGAGTCGCGTACGGAGTGTATTAAAGCTTATGGACTTCTATTAAGCTTTATCTTAGATCCCAATATTAGCACATCTCAGTGGGTGTGGAGAAGCATTGGATCCCTAATTTCGTTCCACATAATGTTTCTTTTCTCATCCCATGCTCATGCCCATGCATTTTTTTTTGTGAATAACTGTATATTTTAACTAAAAAAAATAAAATACAGTGTTTAAAAATGCTCTACCTTGTCAAAATTCACCATGTCTTCATTAGCTGCTCCTTTCTATTACAATAACTAGGTGCCATGAAAAAAGGTTAGCAAGCACAAAACTATCTTGGACACAACTCATAAGGCCATTCATTGAGTCACTAACATCAAGTGTGATTACCCTAGTTGAAACCCCATTTCTTTACTAAAAATCAATCAATTCAAAACACTCAAATTATCAACCTATTTTTGGCCTTTGCATCAACATTTATATGTACTCTTTCTTTCCTTAGTACATGATTTAGTAAGAGACTGAATGATAATGAGAATATATATATATTAATAATTCCGTATCCAGCCCAATATGGCTATCTAATTTGGGGATCATTCCCACTATCTATTAACCAGAAGCTCAATTGAAGGTAGTGCAAATCCCGTATAGACTAGTTTTAAAAAATTATTTGTACCTAATAAATTTCAAAACTTCGATCATATAGGAGTACATTCTCAAGTCTTAGGCTTTGACCACTAATGATATATACCAACTAATGACTATATATATGTTTTTTATTACATAAACACACAAATTCAAAACATGTTTTAAAATTGAGGGTTGCTATTAGCACATCATCAATTATTTTAGACCTTCTATTTTTTAAATTTTTTTATTACAATAATAACCTTAAATGAAATTACTAAAAAAAATATCAATAATTTTGGGATACCCTAGCTCACAATTAAGCCCACACACCACTATATCATGAGTTAAGATTTATGAGAGCACTCATCTCCCTCACCAGCCATCCATCGTTTCCAAATCCCACTTTCAAAACCTACTCATCCTTAAAATCTTAAAAACCTTTTGGCGGCAATATTTCGGCGGCAACGATGGCAACCATTTGATTATATACACTTTTTTGGCAATGATAGTGAGTGGAAGTTTTTCGACAACTACAACTCCATAAAATGAGAGGAGTACAACAATAAAAACTCAGAAGATATTCATAACTTTGATGGTCAGAGAAGATAGGCCTTGTAAATGTAAGTTTCTTGAATCAAATTAAAAAAAAAAAAATCTGTTCGTCATTCTTTCGGGACTGAATTCTTGAACATATGACCGAAATTCGGGAACACAGGCCCGAACATTATTTATTTGTTCAGGAACATGTAATTGAACATTTATTATTTGTTTGGAAACTAATAATCAAAGCAGCAGCAGCAGAAGCAGACAAACAAAGGAGGTCAGACCACTCTTGGGTGGTCGACTGGGGGGTCAACCAGTGAGTGAAATCATGTCTAGCTTTGCTTATACAGAGAGCATACAAGTATAATGAGACCATGGATGAATGATAGAAAATCAATCATAGAAGCATGAAAGTGGATTATGTTGTGTGTGCGAAAAGAGGTAATAGAAAAAAAAAAAATCAAACAAATTGACAAATCTTATAATGAAGCAGAGAAAAAATTTCTTAATCACCATAAATTTTTATCATGGATTTTTGAAGGTTCCACCGTCGTGGGTTTTGTTAGGATTTTGAGAGAGGCTTTTTGCAGTGTAGGGGGTGTGAGTGTATGCATTTGAATGCGTGAAATATATTTATAAAGATAATTTTGGTATTATTTGAGAGAGAAAAGAAATTTTAAGAGTCTTACAATTTATAAGTGAGAGTCCAAAGTAATGAGAGATCCAAAATAATTGATAAGGTACTAATAGCATCGCTCTTTAAAATTATATCACTCATTTTCTTATATCTAATTACCCCTATGCAACTTTCAATATATATTTTTTAATTTCAAATTATGAATTTTAAAATTTTTTCCTTCCACCTACATTATTAAAATAAAAAAAAATAAAAAATAAAAACCTCAGATGACATTTTATTTTATTTATTTATTGATCTGGATGACATTTACAATCGTCATTTTTGCACACAAATCACATGTTTGCATAGCCTTATATTATATCTAGGGTAAATTACACTTACACCTTTGAGATTTGCGTTTAATACATATTACCTCTTGACGTTTGAAAAATTACACTAACCCTCCTACCATTATAATTATTTAGACGGAATGAAGAAATTGAACTCATACACTCTCTCTTTTCAAACTTTACTTTCTCTGTTTTTTTTTTCCCTTTTCCTTTGCTTTACTTTTTTTTTTCCAATGTAATTATAAGTAAGGGGGTTTGTGAAATGAGACTATTAATCACAGGGATAGAAATGTAGTTTTCAGAATGTCAGGAGATAGAATGTAACTGGATCAAATCTCAGGGAGTCAGTGTAATTTACCCTTATATCTATTTTTTAAAATGAAGTGTACACTACACCACACCACACAACACCACCACACCACACCACATTTTCTATTTTTTTTATTTTTTCAAATTCTTCATTTATTAAACCATACAAAACTGTTAAACGGTTTTCCTTATTAGCCAAACCATCCAAAATTGTTGAACAGATCTTTCTTTTATCAAGCCACCCAAAAATATAAATGTAAAATTACAAATTTATATGTGTAAATATTTACATATATACATGTATGTGTACATATGTATGGCAAGGGGGTTAAGGAACACTGGATGAGGTTTTTCATTTTGTGAAAATTCTGGTCATTTGGAAACTGAGCTATGCTTTGTAGTATTGAGTTTCAAGAAAAGTGCAGCCCTGTTTTATTAAACAAATAAATAATGTGAATTTTAAAAAATATATAAATTTCTGAGTCTTTCAAGCCAAGAAGCACCTAACACTCCTTATATATTCCTCTTTAGTACCAACTCATCCTCACCTCACAGTTTTCTTTTCAATCACTCTAATCCCACTTTCTTGCCTATCTCTTGTTTGTGTTTTTGCCCCAGTGAAACCGACAGCTTCTAATAGCCAACAATGGTGGTCAAGAAGCCAAGAATTGTAATTGTTGGTGCTGGAGTGGCTGGCCTTACAGCTGCCAACAAGCTCTACACCACACAGGGCTCGAGCGAATTGTTCGAGCTGTGTGTGGTGGAAGGAGGGACTAGAATTGGTGGGAGAATCAACACATCAGAGTTCGGCGGAGACCGGATTGAGATGGGTGCTACATGGATTCATGGCATTGGAGGCAGCCCAATTCACAAGATTGCTCAAGAAATCAACTCACTTGACTCTGATCAGCCTTGGGAGCGCATGGATGGTTTCTTGGATGACCCTTTGACTGTTGCTGAAGGTGGTTATGAACTCAACCCTTCTCTTGTCAAGCCTGTCACCAATTTTTTTAACAAACTAATGGAATTTGCTCAAGGGAAGGTGATTGAAGATGGGTTGAGTAAAGAAGAAATTGGGCATTTTAAACTAGCTTCAAAAGGTTTTGATTTCATTTCAAGAATTGGTGATCCTGGAAAGCTCAGTATTGGTGCTTTTCTTCGACAAGGCCTTCAAACATTCTGGGATTCATTGGAAGGTCAAGAGGAGCTCAAAGGGTATGGGGGTAATTGGAGTCGCAAATCTCTCCAGGAAGCGATTTTCACAATCCAGGAGAACATCCAGAGGACTTATACTTCAGCTGGTGATCTAATGACACTTGATTTCAATGCCGAGAGTGAGTACCGGATGTTTCCAGACGAAGAGATCACCATTGCCAAGGGCTATATGAGCATAATTGAGTTCATAGCTTCTGTTTTGCCTCCTGGTTCGATCCAATTATGCCGAAAGGTCACCAAGATTGAATGGCAGCCTGAAAATTACCGGGTTTTGGAGAGTGAAACCGGTGATTTTAGGCCTGTGAAGCTACATTTCTCCGATGGATCGGTCATGTTGGCCGATCATGTCATTGTCACAGTCTCATTAGGGGTTCTCAAAGCCAGAATCTGTGAAGGTTCTGGTTTTTTTGATCCACCACTTCCACATTTCAAAACCGAGGCAATTTCAAGGCTCGGGTATGGTCTTGTTAACAAGCTGTTCTTGCAATTGAGTCCAACCCATGATAGGGAAAGTGATGATCTCAACAAGTTTCCATTCTTGCAAATGGCTTTTCAGCGGTCAGACTCCGAATTCAGGCACCCGAAAATTCCATGGTGGATGAGGAGGACAGCCTCTCTATCCCCAATCTATGGCAAGTCTAGGGTCCTGCTAGGTTGGTTTGCCGGCAAAGAAGCTCTTGCACTTGAGTCTCTTGATGATGAAGAGATTGTTACCGGGGTTTCGACAACAATCTCTAGCTTTCTATCAAGTTCACACCACAAAGTGAATTCTAATTCTCATGAATTGAGCAATGGGAAGGTGAGTTCTGTGGATAGCTCCAATGGAGGAGAGTTAAAATTCAGCAAGGTTTTGAAGACCCAATGGGGCACTGATCCACTGTTCTTGGGATCTTATAGCTATGTTGCTGTCGGATCTAGCGGGGAAGATTTGGACACCATGGCTGTGCCATTGCCCAAGAATTGCAGCAATGGATCTTGTTCTTCTCCTCCACTTCAAATCCTGTTTGCAGGGGAAGCAACACATAGAACCCATTATTCTACTACCCATGGTGCCTATTTTAGTGGTCTGAGAGAAGCCAATCGGCTTCTTCAACATTATCACTGCAATGGGGTATGAGAGTTTTTTTCAAAAAGAGCGGCTTGGCCTAACAGTGAGGTCTTGCCGTTAGCGTTCTTTGGTGGCACAAGTTCAAGTCACAGAAAAATGGAGGGCGGCTTGGCCTAACAGTAAAGACTTGCTGTTAGTGTCTCTGGTGACACAAGTTTGAGTAAAAAAATTGGAGAGTGGCTAGGCATAACAATAAGGCCCTTGCCGTTATCGTCTCCGGTGACACAAGTTCAAGTCATAGTAAAAATAGAAGTAAGACTGCGTACATTCTGTTCTCCTTAGACTCTACTTAGCGCAAAAGTATTGTGGACTAGATTGCTTTTTGTTTTTTGTTTTTTGTTTGTTTTTGGGAACATCTCTCTCTTTATCACTTTCTCACATAATCATTTTAAAATCTTTTCTAAAATATTTTCTCTCTTTGTAATGTGATTGGAGTGAGAGAAAAGAGAGAACCAAGGAGGGGGGAAATGAAAGGGAGAGATGGGGACATTTTTAGGTGTAGTGATGAATTAGTTAAAGAAGCTTCTTTACATTTTCTATTGCTTTCACTTTGTTTCTTAAGTCTCTTGTGAGCTTATTTTCTATTTGATGTTGTTGTCTTGATCTTCAAAGCAAACCAGCTGTTGAGATTATATGCTTGGCATTGAATATTTGTAAAGATAAAGTAGAGACGAAAGAAAGCTTTGGATCTCAATCATCTTTGGTTCCATCCCAATGAGTTTCTTTTGGATTTTGCACTATGGACAGGATCCGGTATACCCGGAGTTTATTTAGTGTTTTTTCCCCAAATCCAAACAGACCTTATTGATGAGAATAAAAGTGAGAAGGATGGAACTAGATGATTTGATTATGTACAACAAAAATCTATAAATGAAACAGCGAAAAAAAAAGTGATATTAATGAAAATGTTAAGGGGATGTGGTAGTAAAAATATTGATAAATTTATTTAATTTAAGTAAGTATATAACCAGTTAATAGAGCAAAATTAACCCCACTTGATTAGAACATATAACTTAGTTTGGTTTGATTTGGTTTAACCAAACCCTTATTACTTTTAGATTAGATATAGTTTGGGTGATAGAAATCTTGAAAGAGAATGTAAATATGATTTTAATTTTTTTATGATTCCACCGTTTGAAACGTATTCTAATGAAAAAATAATTTCTAATTACCTATTCTAGTTGGAATTATTTTTCCAAATTAAGCAGAAATTTTTTGATTCCCATGCTAATCTCAGATTTCCAAATATATGTGAATTATTTAAGAGTTAAAAAAGGTAAATTGGCATACAATATGTAAGTTTCTATCATTTTTTCATTGGATTTATTTCACTAAACTAAACTCTTCGTAACATTATCATAATAGGAGGAGGATATCCTTCGATCCAAAATCTGAACTAGAGGGCGTTGTTTTGGCCTACGGGGTCCACTTCAGGTCTTGTTTTGATAATTCAAATCGTTCATTTTGGTGGATACTTCATGTGTTTCATTCAAAAAAAAAAAAATTAAGTCGATCTGATAACTGTAACTAATTTAATTTATTGCATTTTTTACCAAAAAAAAAAAACGCTCATTTTTCTTTTATGACAAACGCAAGCTATCAAATCGACTTAATTTTTTTTGTGGATGAAATACATGAAATGCCCTACAAAATGAACTGTTTGAATCATTAAAATAGAGCTTGTGGTGAACCCCATGGACTGAAACAACGCCCTCCAGTCCAGATTTTCGACTGGAGGGGATCCTCCTCCATCATAATAACTATTACATAGATCATCTCTAATCCAGACTCAAATCTTTCATCAAATTTAAATTTGGTAAAAATAGTGTTTCAATTGTTTCATCAAATTGGTATCATTACTTTTTTCATCAAATTAAGAGAGCATTTAACTTTTTATCAAATTTCGCAAGTGAATGTTGATAGACGAGTGGATGGATGATCGGTCAGTCAACTTGATGGACGACTAGATTGAAAAAAATTTGAAAAAAATTTACACGTTAGTGGATGACCACCCAGATATCCTTCAGATCGTCCTCTCGGTTAACCGATTATTTGATGAAAATTAAAAATTTAATTTTAAAATATTTGATATGAGATGAAACTTTTAATTCAAGTCTTTATTCAAATTTAATAATAATAAAAAAAAAGTAACCGTTAAAGATGCTTTAATAATTTAACCTTTGATAATATCATTCATTCTGCTAGATTCCTTGCATCCTGGTAAATTTATAGGCACCTCTTTTGTTGAGGTTACTGAGGTATCTAGACCAATATATGAGCTGGCCAAACTAGGAGTTAACAATGAAAAAGAAATAGGAGCCACCATTGCCATGTAGGGTCCCATCCAGTACACCTCCTGCATCAAATCCAGCCCCAGTCCAAGTGGCCAATTTGGTTCAATCAGACTTGTTTCCAAAATGTCCTTTAACAGTGGGACAGATGTAGGGGAAAAATTATTGGTTGGCCTTTTGATGCGTAGTCATGTTCTATCTAAATTATAATTTATTATATTCTCTTAATTTTTTAATTATCTAACATAAATTCATGAATTTTATTTTCTTCATTAATCACAATATTATTAAAACATCACAAGACTGTACTCTAATATCAACCAATAACTTCTTGGTGTGGCCAGAATAGAGATAGGCCCAAGTATAGTATGGTACAAACCTAATAGTTTTAGGTATTATATTCAAAACAAAAATAATTTTAAAATTAGCAAGAATATGTTGAGTTAGCTTTCGTTTCGAATGTGAATTGATTTTTTTAATTTTTTAGCTATTTTAATTTGGGGTTAAAAAACCTTAATTAGGATAGGCATTTTGATTTTTTTGATTTTTGTAAGAGAAAAGATAAAATGATTATGATTTAAATGTGACATTTTATTTTATTAATTTTTTAGCTTATTTTATCTTTTTGTGACTAATTTAGCCCAAAACTAAGATGCCAAACAAAGCCTTAATTTAACATCAATGACAAGTAGATGATTATATTGCGCGGTAAGCATGTCGTATGTAAAATCAATCATGAAAAAAAAAATTATATTTTTATAATAATTTCATTTTTGAAAAAATTATCTCGTTTTTTATAATAATATTACAGTTATCATATTTTTATACTATATTCTAGTACCGATAACTGAACTAACACATCTATCTATCTATACTATATATTAAGTGAAATGAGATTTTTAACCCCAAGGATTGTGGGAGTTTCAATATCCCAATCTGAATTTTTTAAATTTCTTATTAAAAAAAAACGCAGCATTTATTGATTTGGTCAAAATCCCTTGATCAGCATTTATTAACTTTTTTCAACCCACATGTCTTTCCACATGCCTGCATTTATCGATTTGGTCAAAATTTTCTGATCAACATTTAAAATCCCCTCATACAAATAATTATAGATACAATATGTGTATAGTTACTGCACTACCCTTTTTAACTTCTCCCATATACTATGGTTAGTGATAAGGTTGTTAAATTACTTTTATAAAAAATCTTAAAAAACATAATTTATATATAAAAAAATCTAAAACAAATATAAATATCTATAATTTATTGATTTGGTTAAAATCTTCTGATCAGCATTTATTAACTTTTTTCAATCCACATATCTTTTTACATGCCTGCATTTATTGATTTGGTCAAAATCCTCTAATCAGCATTTAAAATCCCCTCATACAAATAATTATAGATACAATCCATGTATAGTTACTGTAGTACCATTTTCAACTTCTCCCATATACTATGGTTAGTGATAAGATTGTTAAATTGTTTTTATAAAAAATTTTAAGAAACATAATTTATATATTAAAAAAATCTAACACAAATATAAATATTTATAATTATCCCGTGCATAACACGGGTGATAGGCTAGTATCTATACTTACTATATATTAAGCAAAAGGGGGTTTTTAACCCCAAGTCTTGTGAGAGCTCCAATCTCCCAATCTAAATTTTCTGATTTTTTGATTTAAAAAAAAAAAAAAACATTAGCATTTATTAACTTCTCCTAACCCCCAAGTCTTACCCTTATAATAACACTTTAATGTATTAAATTAAACTTTAATATAGTATAATAAAAAAATAAGACATTTAATTTCTTGAAAAGTCCAACACATATGATTATTATCAAAATATTAAACTTTAATATAGTATAATAAAAAAATAAGACATTTAATTTCTTGAAAAGTCCAACACATATGATTATTATCAAAATATTAAACTTTAATATAATATAAAAAAGGAAAAAAAGAAGACATTTAAAAAATTAAATTTTTTGGCGATCAAAATTTTGGTGGTTGAAAGTGCATCTTCGGCGACCAAATTTGATTTTGGTCGGCAAAAGTTAAATTTTTTAGCAACTAAAAAATAATTAGTAACCAAAAGTATAGAATTGGCGACTAAAAAATATTTTTAGTCTCCAAAAGTGATCTTTTTTTATTTTGCTAGTAAGTAGTTTATTTTACATAAATTATGTTCAATAAAATAATTATGTTTATACATATATTTTTATATTAATATGGATATATGTATGTACTATATAAATAATATATGTTCCAATCTCTTAATCTAAATTTCCTGATTTTTTTATTTTTTTTTAAAAAAAAACCTTAGCATTTATTAACTTCTCCTAACCCCCAAGTCTTACCCTCATAACAACACTTTAATGTATTAAGAACAAGTATAAAAAAAATTCTTTAAAATCCAACACATATGAATTTCTTGAAAAGTCCCAACACATATGATTATTATCCCTTATATTAACACTTTAATGTATTAAGAACAACCATAAAAAAAAAAATTTGAAAAGTCCAACACATATGATTATTATCAAGATATTAAATTTTAATATAGTATAATAAAAAAGAAGACATTTAATTCCTTGAAAAGTCAAACACATATGACTATTATCAAAATATTAAACTTTAATATAATATAAAAAAGGAAAAAAAAGAAGACATTTAAAAAAAAAGACATTTAAAAATCGCAATTCACATATATAGTATAGATTGTAAATATATTAAGGAAAATGGGATTTTTAAACCCCAACATATGATTATTGTCAAAATATTAAACTTTAATATAGTATAATAAAAAAATAAGACATTTAATTTCTTGAAAAGTCCAACACATATGATTATTATCAAAATATTAAACTTTAATATAATATAAAAAAGAAAAAAAGAGAAGACATTTAAAAAAAAAAGACGTTTAAAAATCGCAATTCACATATATAATATAAATTGTAAATATATTAAAGAAAATGGGGTTTCTAAACCCCAAGCCTTATGGGAGCTCCAATCTCTCAATCTTAATTTTCTAAATTTTTGATTTAAAAAAAAAAAACCTCAGTATTTATTGATTTGGTCAAAATTCCCTGATCAGTATTTATTAATTTTTTCCAATCCACATGCCTGCATTTATTGATTTGGTCAAATCCCCCATTAGCATTTGAAATCCCCTCATACAAATAATTAAAGATACAGCCTGTGCATAGTTACTGCAGTAGCATTTTTAATTTCTTCCGTACACTATGGTTAGTGATAAGATTATTAAATTGTTTTTATAAAAAAATCTTTAAAAACATAATTTATATATTAAAACAATTAAAACAAATATAAATATCTATAATTATCCCGTGCATAGCACGGGTGATAGGCTAGTATTATATAAGGAAAAAGGGGATTTCTAA